TTACAGCCTATATTATTCCACTGCTGAACATATCTCATGATGGGGAAGGATTTTGCTATAGTTGCTACGATCGGCAGACGGGTTGGCAACAGTTTTTATAATTTAAGTTGTCATCGGAATGATGCTGCCGCCCATCTCGTGTTTTAGTTTCCCTTCGTCGCTTCTTACGACAATACCCGCCACTACACGATTATTAATTTAGTGTAATTTAAATACATAATTTTTATAGTGAGTAATAATATATGATAAAAATGAATAATATAAAATACAGATTTTTGTTTATTTTGTTTATTTAAACTATCTTGATGAATCTGAATGACAGGGTGAGAAATTTTTTGATAAGAGAAGAGTGTGGTTTGCAAGATGATGTTGTGGCCAGGATTAAGAAAGGAATAGTTCGCTATGGTTTGGTTATGTGGAAAGAATGAATGAGGAAAGAGTGACTAAGCAAATTTATGTTTCAGAGGTGAATGGCAGAGTCGGGAAGGGACGCGCTAGGCGAAAGTTTATCGACCAAATTGGCGATATATTAAAAATGGGCCAAATTAATAGTACCTTTAACCGACGAGCGTGTATGCGTAGGTATATGGATGTGGAAGAAGCGAGAGAGGTGTGTTAGGATCGTACCAAATGGAAGTCCATAGTCTCTGCCAACATCTCTGGGTGACAGGCGTGAGTGTTTATGTATATTTATTTACATAAAATTGAAATCGATGCAATATTAAAAAAAAATATGGTGAATAAACGAAAAGCAAAAACTCAGATTATAGCCTATAAGACAACTTAACTTCAAATTGACTTTACTTCATGTGTATTACTACAATGAACCTGTAAAATACGTGTTCATGATGGTACATTACAAAAACCGTAAACTATTTAAAATTGATTTTTTTATTAATTTTATAGGCAATGGACGACACTTATAACTGGATTTAACTTAATTGTATAAACAAATCTCTTAACAAATAAATGTAAGTTTAAACTTTCGAGCCTTAATTACCCATACCGCACTCTACATTAGTTGTAAAAACTGTGTCTTATAAGCGTTGCTCTTTTAATGGTACAAATAAAATAGATTAGGGCGATAAAATAAACAAAATTAGGCAAAAACAATGAATTGATATGCTTATAATATTTTTGCCTTTTTAATGATGCGTATAATTAAAATGCCTATTACCTTGTTTTTATTAACCCGTACAGTCCAGTGTTGGACACTCACGAGAGGAAATGATGTAATGATATTTGAGCCGACTTCGACGAATACCTTCTAGTTGTTGTTCACCGATTTTAAGTATTATTTTATTAAATAAAAGGTAATATTTCAAGTTTGGTCCCATAAACTAAATTCAGGTGTGTTATCACTCCTATGGAATAAGAAAGCCTCGTTTTCAGTAAGAAGGGTTCTCTACGATCATCATACGAAACACAGCAGTATTGAGCTGCTATTTTACGTGGGTATTCTGTGCATGGCCTTCCCCGATCAAGACGACCTATTCATGCTACAACCATAATATAGCTGCAGCATGCACCTATAAATTTGGGGATAAAAATCCACTCCTTAGGGTTGCAAAATAGGGAATTAAAATTTTAATGTAACTATTTAGACGTTATTGTGATTGTGGTATTTCTAAGTTCACTTGAAAGAGTAAAAATAACATTAAACAAAAAGTAAAAGCCGACTTTAAATAAATATAATTTATTATGTACAATATTAAAAACTATAATTTTAAAAAAAACTAAAACTAGTAACTTAATTATCATACAGTCCTACTCCCCGCGGTATATAAATATAAAACTATAATTTCATATTCTGATGCCGCGGCCTTTATTTTTATACAGTACCGAATTTAGAACGTGAAATTATTTTATACTTTTTAGTTATATTAAATCAGCTTTTACTTTTTATTAAATTGTATATTTTTTCATAATTAAGTAAGGATGACATAATATCATACAGTTTATTTGGTGGTTAGTTTATGCTGCGGCCCATAACACAGAAAAAATAACGTACATATAGCCGCACATCATATTATCTTCGATTAACAAACAAAACGCAGATTTGTTGTATTCCCTTCTTTTTAGTTGGCAGGACTAAAAATGGAATGTCTCATCACCAGTAAGAAGGGGAAAAATAATACATACATATACATAAACACTCACGCCTGTCACCCAGAGGGGTAGGCAGAGACTACGGACTTCCATTTGGCGCGATCCTGACACACCTCTCTCGCCTCCTTTACATCCATATATCTACGCATACATGCTCGTCGGTTAAGGGTACTCCTAATCTGGCCCATTTTTAATGTATCGCCGATTTGGTCGATAAACCTTCTTAAAACTTTTTACTACTAATGACTTTCTCATCATTCACAATACGATTATTAGGTGATGGGACTTCATTTCTGGTTTGTCCTCCTTTCAGTCTGCCCGAATAGGTACCACCCTTTGTGTGCTGTGATCAGACTGAATGGTATATAGCCAGTGTAATTACAGGCTGTGAAGCCTTTCATCTTAGTTCTCAGAGGCGACAGCGTATATGTAGCTTCTTTGTTTGAAATTATTTGTAAATCTCCATGGACTGCAGCAGCGTACAATCAATCAGCCTGCAACTTTGCTTGTCACTTCATTCATCGATCCATCCATTACAGCCTATGAAAGTCTACTGCTGAAAATACGCCTCCCTTTTAGATTGCCTTGTACGGCGGATTTTGCAATATATTCCAGGCGGTTTCACAGCCAAAGTTTTTTTTTAAATTATTTGAAGTGGTTATTATATTATATTCCTTCTTCTGATTTAGTTTCCCTCTGTCGCCTCTTATTACACCCACAGGACGATAATCAGTAGTAAATAATATTACTAAACACTACTACACGGTTTATCAATTTTATTTTATTAAAAACTAGCTGTGCCCCGCGACTTCGCCCGCGTGGAATTTACTACGATTTCATGGATATCAATTTTCGCGGGACCCTAATTTTGTTTTTGAGTAATGTTACCATCGTATAAATATTAACATTAATATTTATACGATACTAACGTCACTCAATTGTTTTGCCTTCCCGAAACCCCTCCACTAACACTTAAACTTTATGGTATGGTATTAAAGTTAAAATTGACTTTTAAGTATTATTACGAATCTTTTGTATAGGAATATAGAAAAGTGTTGTTTTTAGACTTTTTCAGCCAATTTTTTTAATTTTTTCTCTCCGTAAGAGCCATCTTCGTACTTCAAGGAAAATTATATAAAAAAAGAATTAGCGAAATCGGTTCAGCTGCTCTCAAGATTTGCGCTTAGCAACACATTCAGCGTTTTATTTTTATATTGTAGATTTATAGCAACTTTTTGTTATTATTCTGTTACATTATTCGCCTTTTCCAGTTGAACCGATGCAATCATGCAGCAGCTATAAAATAAGGCTCTTAGATTTACTTATGCCGCCATAAAGTCATTAAAATCATATATTTGAAAATTGTATCGCCACTATCCTTTGATTTAATTCGCAATAACAGCATTTTATATGCACGAGCATGGCGTCATGACCCAAACATGTGTACAAAGAGCGCTGTTATAAGTCTGACATTGGCAATGCACCAAATTTTAAATTATTTTACCGGTGTATGTTTTATAGCTTTCTGATTTAATATTTCAGTAACTGGACATATTAAAAATTTGTTTAAATTTATTATGATTTTCTTTTTAAATGGATTAAGACAAGTTTCAACTTTATATTTGTTTATCTCTTTCTCAAAGATGGAACATTTACTTATAGGTTTAATAAAAGATGTCAGTAAGTTTATTTCATGTTTTCTTTTAAAGAATAAAGGTGACAAACGAGCACACAGTCCACCTGATGGTAAGTGAATGCTGTGGCCCAAAGACACCTACATTTAACCTCGATTAAATTTCAAAATGCAGATGCGTTGTCACCCCTGAGGACTAAGATGGAATGCCTCGTGTCCAGTAAAAAGGGTAACCGGTTCTCTGCACTCACCATACAAAACATAGCAGAATTAGGCTTCTCATATACGCTGGTATTCTTTAAGAGCGTGGTCCTACCCCGGTAGAGCTGACCCATTCATGTTTCAAGTGTAATATTGCTGCAGCGTGTCTCTACCACGTATTAAATATAGTTCATAATATTATATAATTTTTAATTATACATATGACAAAATAGCAAACAATTAAACATTTATGAATGTTGGTGGCTCGGGACCTTGCTTTGTTGCATTACTTGGGGAAAGCCTACGTTCAGCCGTGGACTTGTGATTGTATTGATGGTGATGATGATTTTGACTTACTGATGATTGTTTTCCTCCACTAAATATACTCGTAGTTGTAGTAATGATCTGGCAATAGAGGGAGTCAATGTATGGAGGAGGCTCGGAACCGGGCTTTGTGGCAGTCCTTGGGAGCCCTATGTTTATCAGTGAAGTTGTGATTGGCTGTAATGATGGTGAAGGCGATGATGGTGATAATGATTTATTGAAGTTTTCGTTAAAATAAATAATACGTAAAGAATTTAAATTTTAACTTTCAATTTTAATCTTAATAAAATAGGCACCAATTATAACTTCATTTTAGTACAACATTGTAACAGTTAATTGATGAAAACACGAACTTAAATCTTTCGAAGAAAATCTCTAGTATAAATGGGTACCAATAAAATGAAAACAAAAGATCTTTTATTGCAAATATTCTGAACCACAGCTATGCATTATTCAAGCCAAAGAAGCTACTCGTATTTCTTCCATTGATAGTGGAATCGCTATATTTTCTTTTACGTCAAATAGGTCGTCAAATCGAACATAAATAACTGAATACAAATAAAAATAAATAGTGCTGCATAACAATATACACAAATCAACCATTTCAGTAATTTAAGCACATTTTAAAATAAACGATTTAGCATAAGCAATTGATTCGCAGACTTATTGAAAACTAAAAAAAAATTATCTCCATTTTCATATTAAATATTTTAAATCTTATCACATATCTTACCTCGAGCGAGACACTAGCACACAACACTACACTTAATCATAGAACCTTACACTAAAACTGTCGTCAGGATTTGTTCAATCGCTCGTAAAATACTCAGAGAGATCCGCACCGTAGGAAACGGACGTTCACCGCTTTCAACTGATCCGCACACACTGAGCTTACTACGAAAGCTGGATCTACGGCGCGCGCATGTTTGCAAAAACGGTAATTCAAACACATTTATCAAGCTAATTCTGCAAATTGAACTAAATAATGACGTTTCGAGGGCACTGCTACCACCTATTGGTGTTTGCAGATGAATGTACTATCAACTAATCGGGATTTAGCCGAGGTTCTATCTTATGAAACTTTCTATATAAAGTTTTTATAAGCTCTTAGTTCGCGTTTTCAAAACCCGTATTATCTATTGCAGTTATATTTAATTTTCTATTAAAACTTCTGAACCTTTTACATCTGCTGGATAGTCATTTAAATACACAAAAATATACTATATATTTCTTGAAACTTAACCAGCCCGTACGGGTCTGGGCTACCGCACTAAACTAATAGTAGTAGTCTTTTTTATAGAATAAGAATGACAATCGAGCACTCAGTGATGGTAAGTGCATGCTGTGGTCCATAGACATCTACATAATATTTCCTCGATTTAGAGATTAAAATGCAAATGCATTGTTACCCCTGAGGAATAAGATGGAATGCCTGGTTTATTTTACACTGGTATTCTGTGAGAGTGATGTCCTTTCCCGGTCGAAAGGACCAATTCGAGCTACAATCAGACTTTGCTAAACAAAGTTCTCTGAATGGGGCGATTGAAATTAGTTCGGTTCAACCTCCAGGATGCATTGAATCTTTGCTAATTCTATGGCGCTTCTTTTTTAAAGTTCTCAAAAATATTGACTGGCTTAAGCATTACAAACATGTTCCGACCTTAAGTGGAAGTCCAATCGTCCAACATGTCACTTTTTAAGCCTTTTCCGATAACGAATTTAGCATATTGCCGTTATAAAAATTTCGACACCTAATAATAGAACCCGTCTCTACAATAAAACGGCAAGTTAATAAATATTTGAATTAAAGTTTGCGAAACAGGGTTTCAAATTACCTGTGTCATATTCTAGTGTGACGGAAATAAAACAATATTCTTAGAGTATAAATCTGGGGTAATCTCGATGTCTAAAATTTCCTTAGTTTATTTATTCGAATAACAATGATAACGTATCTTTCTATCATGTTCCGATTTAAATGTTATAGAGAACCAGTGCAAAAATAATCATCATCATCTTCATTAAAATCCGTTTAAAGTCAACTGGTGAATATACAGTATGTGTGTAGTTTAAGCTTACTTATATGACTATATAAGAAGCACCATTTTAACAGTGGTAGAGCCAAGCGGTAACTTTTGCTGTCGCACGGATGAGCCAGCTCGAACCGGGGTGGTACCACGACCTCACAGAATACCAGCGTGAAGTAGAGGTTTACCTCTGCGTTGCGCTTGGCGAGTGCAGGTGGCCGGAGGCAGCATCAGCATGGTAGTGGCATTAAATAAAAGACTACCCCAGGAGCGTACCAGCACCACTGAAGAATCCCTCGCTGAGCATCCACGACCAAACTACTTCACTTCATAAGCGTGGGTGCTCAGGCTGCCCCGCGTATTCTGGAGGGGGGGGGGGGGGGCGGGCAAAATTCCGCTCGCCACTAATGCTGCCCGGGGCAAGCGTAGCAATACAACCAAGGCGACCCCTGTCACGCTATCCGTGAATTTTTGCAACATCAGGGGACTTCATTCCAACCTTAACGTTGTCCATTACTATCTATAGACGGTGAAGCCGGCCTTGCTCTTTTTAACCGAAACTCAGATGTCCTCTCCGGCTGATACTTCATATCTCTTCTACCCGGGGTACAAATTGGAACACTCCTTTGTGCCCCGGGCTGGAGTTTGCGTAAACGTCAGAGAGGACATCTGTTTTCGACGCCTCGGCAGTCTTGAAGGTACGGACCTGCGACCATCCCCGCGTCTACGGGTGCATCTATAGGTCCCATAGCGGTAATGCTGACACAGACCGACTCATCGACCACGTCCAAATGGCTGCAGACTCCGTGCTACAACAGGTCCCATCCGCAGAGATCATGATACTCGGTGATTTCAACGCCCACCACGCTGAATGGCTTGGTTCTCGTTTAACCGATCATGCGGGTAGATCTGTCTATGACTTTGCTTTGGCAAATGGTCTAACACAACTGGTTACTTCGCCTACGCGGATCCCAGATGTGGAAGACTATGTACCTTCCCTGTTGGACCTTTTGCTGACATACTGATATCAGATCTCCGTCGATGCCCCTCAGGGCTCTTCGGACCATTGTCTGATCCGGAGTACGGTGCCACTCACGCTCCAATCGCAGTTGCGATCTGCAGCTTGCCGCCGTGTTTGGCACTATAGGTCAGCTCATTGGGAAGGGATGCCGTTTTTTTTTGCATCCTACCCTTGGGGGCGGGTTTGTTCTCGCCGGAAGATCCCAGCGTTGCTGCCGATTCTGTTGCTGATGTGGTACTTTAGTGTATGGAACTTTTTATTTCATCTTCTGTGGTGCCCATCAGAGGCAGATCCTAGCCATGGTTTGGTCGCTCCTGTAAAATAGCATCACGCTATAAGCAGGAGTGCTACCGGGCCTGGGCTGACACATCAACGTCTCGGGATGTAAACACCAGCGCACTTAAAAAGAAGTATAACACCGCCTCCAGGTCCTTCAAAAGCGTCATTGCCAAGGCAAGGTCTGAGCACATGGGCAGAATTGTCGAGAAGCTAGTTCGCCTTCCTTCGAGAACCCGTGCATTCTGGCCTCTCGCCAAGGCTGTCCAAGGGAACTTCTGTCAGCCATCTCTTCCATCTTTGCACAGAGAGGACGACTCACTGGCCCATGCCGCAAAGGAGAAAGCCGATCTGTTGAGCTCTCTTTTTGCGTCCAACTCGACTCTAGATGACGGGGAGAACACACCGCCGACCATCCCGCGATGTAAATGCTCCATGCCGGATGTGAGATTTACACAGCTCTCGGTTCCCAAAGCACTCTTCTCCCTGGACGTCAGCAAGTCGAGTCGAGTCGAGTGGGCCCGATGGAGTCCCTCCCATTCTGCTGAAAACGTGTGCTCCGGAGTTGGCACCGGTTTTAACGCGTCTTTTTCGGTACTCCTACTCCCAAGGCGTAGTCCCGAATTCATGGAAGACAGTTTTGGTCCACCCGATCCCTAAAAAAGGCGACAGCTCAGACCCGTCCAACTATAGGCCTATCGCCATCACCTCCTTGTTCTCCAAAATAATGGAATCCGTTATAAACTGCCAGCTCATGAGGTACCTTGAGGATCACCAGCTGATTAGTGACCGCCAGTACGGTTTTCATCGGGGTCGATCAGCAGGTGATCTTCTACTCTACTTAACTCATAGATGGGCGGAGGCAGTAGAGTCCAAGGGGGAGGCATTGGCCGTTAGTTTGGACATAGCGAAGGCCTTTGATCGGGTCTGGCACAAAGCGCTTCTTTCGAAGCTTCCTTCTTATGGGCTTCCCGAGAAATTGTGCAAATGGATCGCCAGCTTCCTTGCAGATCGGAGCATCAAGGTCGTAGTAGACGGTGCATGCTCTGATTTCAAACCTATCAACGCTGATGTTCCACAAGGCTGTGTGCTATCACCAACGCTGTTTCTCCTGCATATCAATTATATGTTGCTAACTGGTAGCATTCATTGCTATGCGGACGACAGCACTGGTGATGCTCTATACACCGCCAATATTTCTCGGGAAAACGTCGCCGAGTACCATAACAAACTTGTGTCTGAATTCGAGTCTTTGCTGAACAAAGTCTCGGATTGGGGGCGACTAAATCTAATCCAGTTTAATCCACAGCAGACACAAGTTTACGCATTTACTGCTAAAAAGAACCCCTTAGTCGTATTTCCTTAGTTTCAAGGCACTCCCCTTGTTACCTCAGCTAGTATTGGAATCCTTGGTGTCGACATATCGACTGACGTGCAGTTTCGTGGTCACTTGGAAGGGAACGCCAAATTGGCCTCTAAAAAGCTTGGCATGCTCAGCAGAGTGAGACGGTATTTCACGTCGGTACATCGCTTGAAACTTTACAAAGCGCAAGTTCGGCCCCACATGGAATACTGTTCTCATCTCTGGGCCGGGGCACCCCAGTGCCAGCTCCTTCCACTTGACCGCATCCAGCGCAGAGCGGTTCGAATCGTCGACAACCGAGTTCTTTCTGATCGGCTCGATACACTGGCACTGCGTAGAGATGTTGCATCTCTTTGCGTATTTTATCGCAATTATCACGGGGAGTGCTCTGAGGAATTGTTCGGACTAATTCCAGCCGCTTAATTTCACCATCGCACATTGCGACAAAACTCGCGTTACCATCCATACCATCTGAATGATTGGCGTCCACCACTGTGAGATTTAGAAGAAGTTTTCTCCCTCGCACAACTTCCTTGTGAAATCAATTACCACCAGCGAATTTTCCGGACCGATACGACTTAGGAACCTTCAAGAAAAGAGCTTACACCTTTCTTACAGGCCGGCAACGCATCTGCAATTCCCTTGGTGTTGCGGTTTTTCATGGGCGGCGGTAGTCACTTACCATCACGTGAGCCGCATTCTCGTTTGCCCCCTAGTCTATAAAAAAACTTGTAATATTCGTGCAATAATAGACCAATGTAATCCATCTTATTTATTTTCAGTTTGGTGTAGATGATTATGAGCTAAGTTCCACTTATCTTCAGTAGGACTGCAAGCTCGTTTTACTCTCTGACGTTTAAACATGAACATCATTTTATACGTGATAGGGCCACGCTGCGGCTGCGGCTATATTATGATTGTAGCACAAATTGGTCGGCTCCACCTGGGAAGGACCACGCTCTCACAGAATACCAGCGTAAAATAGCAGCTTAATGCTGCTGTATTTCGTATACTGAGTGTAGAGAACAGGAAACCCTTAAACTGGAAACAAGGAATTTCATCTTAATCATTAGGGGTCGCATTAAGAATCACATTTTGATTTCTAATTGAGGATAAATGTGGATGTCCACACTGTCGCCCTCATTCTATAAAAAAATAATTTCAATATAATGACTATACTGATATAACTGAAGCGTATTAGGT